ATTTGTAAACTTACTAATTTAGAGTGAAATAAAGACAATCTATAGAGTTTGACTATAGACCATTCCTTCTAATAATTGCTGGAAGTTATATAAAATATAGTGCTAACAAAGTCAGAAATAATTTTGTTGTGTAGAAAATTAGATATTTTTGATTACAGAGTGAAATTAAAAAAAAATCTGTAGAATCCCATTTTTTGTTTAAATAACAATATTTTGTTTAAGTTAATTAAATTAATAAATTTAATTATTACTTTTAGTTTCCTATAGCTGCTTTAACAAATTACCACAAATGTAGTATCTTAAAACAATACATGTTTATTAACATGTCGCCATTCTGGAAGTCAGAAGTCTGAAGTCAGTTTCACTGGGACAAAATCACCATGTAGGCTGGGTCACACTCCCTCTGGAGGCTAGAGGAATCTGTTTCCTTGGCTTTTCCAGCTCCTGGAACTGCTTTCCCTAGATTTCTTGCCTCCTTGTTTCTTCTTCCATTTTCATATCCAGGAGTACAGCAGCCTCTTGCTTCAGAGCTCACATTGGTTTCTTTTTCTATAGTCAAATCTCTCTCTCTCTCTCTCTTACAAGTACACCAATGATTACATTCAGAGCCCACTCAGATAATTCATGATAATTCCTACCATCTCAAAATGCTTAATTTAAGCACAAAGTCCCTTTTGCTATATAAGGTGTAATATTCACAGGTTTAGGTGATTAGGACCTAAGTATTTTGGGGGGCTGATATTAAGCCTCATGTAAACTTGTTCTGCGATATGTGATAAATATATATTAGATTTAAATATATCCCTGACTCAAGATTTTTTCATGCCATTATTCTCTACCAAACTCTTTTCCAAGTAAAACCTGATGTTACTTGATGGTTTCCAACTCTGTTTTAAATTTTTTATTTAGAAATAATTTCAAAGTTATAGGAAAGTTAAAAGAATAAGAATACAAAGACTATCCAAATGCCCTTTACTCAGATTCACCTTATTAACATTTTACTCTATTTGCTTTATTATCCCTGACTTACATGATTTAAGATAAATGTTCATTTTCTAAGAAGACACAAGATTCATACTGGCAGCTATTGCAGCTACTCAACTTTGCTGTTGTAGTGCAAAAGCAGCCACAGACAGTACTTAATTGAATGAGTGTGACAGTGTTCTAATAAGATTTTATTTAAAAAAACATATAGTGGCTGGATTTGGATTTAAATGATTTTTCAGTTACTTAGAATAGTAGTTAAAAAACTTTTTTTTAGAGAAGCAAGTTTCCATTAATTTCTCTGATTATCAAGAAATAGTTCACAGTCTTTTCACTCGGAAATAATGAAGTTTTCTGTATCAGATTTAAAAGATTATGTTATTATCAAAGAGCTAATCTAGGATGCTACCTAGTTTGCACCTGAAAAATGCAAGACCCATATAATGTAAGCATTGAAAAAGATCTTGACAATGAATGAATAAATAACTGGGAGAATGAACAAATGAATGAATGAAAACTGTATGGGCCAATGTTTCTCGGTGTTGCTCCCGCCCCTTGCTCAGCCAGTGAGCGGCTGGTCTGTATGTGGGATCCGAACCCTTGGCGGGAGCGCCGCCGTGCTTCCCAAGCGGCGCACTATAGCAGTGCGCCACCGGGCCGGCCTGGGCCAATGTTTCTCAAATCAGAATTTGCTTGGAAGTTTTAAAATTTTGTGATTCAGTTGTAATCTAATACTTTTTGATATAAACAAATTTAAGATTAACTGCCTGATCTCATGACTGCGTATTGCCACTTGATTGCAATGCCAATGTTTGTGTTGACTATTAAGTAGGGACCAAGTAGTATCCCTTTAATTATTGTAGGCTAAAAAGAGCACAGCTAAAGTGTACTAATACTTTTGTGACAAGTGAAGGACGAATGATGATATGCCATATTATATGATTAAAAATTTTTGTAAAAAGTGGAGGAAAGAAAAATGGTTGCAGAATTATGTTGTCAAAATAACATAGATATGCTAAAATTATGTAAAAAATATGTAAAAAGGCACATAAGAACTAGTGTCACTTTGACTTGGGACCAATTATTTAGTCTGAGCAAAAATATCATCCATGATATTAAATGAATATTAATTTTATTAGTTTTATGTTTGTTTATACATAATCTATAAATTTATATTGTTTTATACTTATAAAAAAAACTTTAAGCATAGGGAGTTTATGTCTAGTATTTGAGCATATTTTATTTTATTTTTTCCTTTCTTTTTTAAAATTTATTTTCATTTTTATATTTGACCACAAAACAAGTCTTAATACATTTATTTAAAAAGACTAAGATCATAGAAAACATGTTCTCTGGCCACAATAACAGAAGGAAATTTAGAAAATTCACAGATGTGTGGAAATTAACACTCTCCTAAATAAACAATGGGTAATAAGAAAAATCACAGGGAAATTAGAGAATACGTTGAGATAAAGATCAGAGTGCAACATATAAAAATTGATAAATTGTAGATCTCATGCAGTTCTTAGAGGAAAATTAATCCTTGTAAACACCTATATTAAAAATAAGAAAAAAATTTCAAATCAGTAATTTAAACTTCTGCTTTAAGAAAATAGACAAAGAAGAGCAAGCTAAACCAAAAGCAAATATAAGTAGGGAATAACAAAGATTATAACAGAAATATATGAAATAGGGAATTAAAAAACCAAAAGTTGATTCTTTAAAAAGATCAACAAAATTTGCAAACCTTTATCTAGACTGACCAAGAAAAAAGGAGAAAAGACTGAAATTACTAAAATCAAATAAATCAGGGGCATTGTTACATTGTCATTATGGTTCTTTATAGTGGTAGGATTTAGTTTCTTTCTCTTTCTCATTTGCATTTTTGTTCTAGTAGTGAGTTTTGTTCTTTATTGTGTATTTGTAGTAGTGATTATCATTTTTTGGATTCCAGATGCAGGACTTTGTTGAGGATTTCTTGTGGGGCTGGTCATGAGCTGGTGAACTCCCTCAGTTTTTGTTTGTCTGGAAAAGACACTATTTTCCTCTCATTTCTGAAGGATACTCTTGCCTGGGTATAGTTTTCTTGGCTGGCAGTTTTTTTCTTTTAGTATTTTGAATATATCATCCCATTTTCTTCTGGCCTGTAGAGTTTCTGTTGAGAAGTCTGCTGTTAGTCTGATGGGTTCTCCATTATAGGTAACTTGACATTTTTCTCTTGCCTCTGTTAAGATTCTCTCTTTGTCTTTGAGCTTTGCCACTTTGACTACAATGTGTTTGGAGGGGATCTTTGAGCCTCCTGGATCTGAAGGTCCATGTCTCTCCCTATGCCTTGACATTTTCCATCATTATTTCATTGAATAGGTTTTCCATGCCTTTTCCTTTCTCTTTCCCTCTGGAACATCCATGATTCTAATGTTTGTGTGCTTAATGTTGTCTGATAGATCTCTTAGATTTTCTTCAATTTTTAGAGTTCTTTTTTCCCTTTTTTTGTCCACCTGAGTTATTTTGGAAAGACTGTCTTCAAGATCAGAAATTATTTCTTCTGCTTGTTCTAGCCTGCTGCTTAAGCTATCAGTTGATTTTTTATTTCAAGGAGTGAATCTTTCAGTTCCATGAGTTCTGCTACATTCTTTTTTAAGGTATTAATTTCTTTGTAAATTTCCTCTTTCATATCCTGAAGTTTTTTCTCATTTCATTATGTTGTATAACTGAGTCTTCTTGGAATTCCTTTTCAGTCATTTCAAGGGTTTCCTTAAATACCAAGGGACTGGTATTTAAGAATTACTGTATTCTTTTGGTGGTGTCATATCTCCTTGGCTTTTAATATTTCTAATATCTCTATGTTGATGTCATCTGGTAGAGTGGTTGCTTCTTTATTACTCTGGAGTAGACTTTGAGGAGAGAGACATCCTCTTCTTTTTCTTGTCTCTACTGGTGACTCTCCTTATGTCAGTGCAATTGCATGCCTGCTGGGCTGCCTGCAAGGTTGCTGTGGCTACTGCTGTGGCGTCAAGCCGTTTTTGTAGCAGCTGTGACTATGGCAGTGGCTGTGAAGTGGTATTTTTGGCTTGCTCTCTTGCCTGCTTCTGAGCATATTTTAGTTTTATTAGAATTAAAATAATTTGTGAGCCCCAAAGTTTGATGAAAATATATATTTTTTAAGAGCATTCCTTCTACTGCTTAAGTTTGAGAAACACTTGATGTAGGCTCATATCCTACATTTTACCAATGAAGAAACCAAGAATCATGAGTAACTTCATAAATATGAATGGGAAAAGGCTGTATTTTCAACTTCATAGTATTTGAAATTATTCTGTGCCAATTAATAGTTTTTATTTTATTATGCATGATATTTTTTCTCCCTTTGAGGATATGTAAGGCTCCCTGCTGAAGCTGGTTTTGGTTGTTCTTAATAATAATGATGCTATGAAAAATGTAATCTTTATTTTCATATTTGTTTAATACTTTACAAATGTTTTTTCCCCCACTGTTTTTTTAAAATTAAATATTTGTAATAACCCTTGGGGGAAGATTATTATCTCCATTTAACAGATGAAGGTTTGATGATGGCAGAGGTAAACAGACTTGCCCAGGGTCACATTGCTCGTAAGTGACAGAACTGGGATTTGAATACATTGTTTTCCATTTTAATATTTTTACTAAAGTAAATCAGAAATTTTATGTTATTTAAATAATTCTTTTAGATTGTGATATTTATTTGAACATATCCAAGTCTGATTGAGTATATGATATTTTCTTCTCTAGGCATTACATTTGCTGTTAGTATTTTCTTGTAAGTTGTATTTCAGACCATTTATTATGTATGTTGCATTTACTAAAATGACAAACATTGGAGTCCTTTTTTTTTGGCAGCTGGCCAATATGGGGATCCAAATCCTTGACCTTGGTGTTACAGCATTGGAGTCTTAAATTCTCTTAATTCATATGTTCTATTTTTATAATCTCTGAGGTCTTTGTTTAATGCAATGTGGTGTTTGATTTTTTTTTAATAGGTCCTGATTGTTCTTTGAATGTTCCTTCTACTGAGTCTTACTGGATTCTGCCAAATGTTAAACCCTTCAGTCCTTCTGTAGGTCGGGCATCACATAAAGCAGTTTTACATGGGAAATTTATGTGGGTGATTGGTGGATATACTTTTAACTACAGCTCTTTTCAAATGGTCTTGAAGTAAGTGTTTATTTTCAGATTTTCACAGTCTTTTTTAAACTGGATTTTTTTCCTAAATGACTTTATTGCTGTCCATACATGTAAATGGTTATTTTTGTGATAGTGTCTGTTTGCTTCATGGGACTGATTTGGGAATATATGAACTCAGTATGTCCATAGTCAATTGTTTGTCATTGTACATTTAGGTTTGTTTTGTGTAGAAATTTCATTACCTCTCTAGAATGCTTTTGATAAATTCTGAGTAAGAAAATAATAACTTCAAATAAGGGCAGGCCATGCTTGTATGCAGCATAAGGAATCATCCACCGTTTATTTATTTCCGAATAAAGTATAATCACATACATAAAAATACTTTCAGTTTGTTCTGTAAATTTAAATTTACTTGAACTTTTACCTTATATGTACTTTAGAAGCTGTTGTTGGGAAAAAAGTGCCAGTATTATGAAATAGATCATTCATTTACTGTTGGCTCAATAGAGATTGTTCTCCGAACAATTGGATAAGAGGTATCACATGGATGGCAGCTTTATCTGATTTCTCTTTCAGCAGATGATCGTATTTTATGAACCATTCAGTAACAGAATCAAAGAGGAAATAGGAAGAATCATTTGATTATCAATGTCGTTTTCAGGGGTGATATTCGTAATATGTAATAAATGGTGCTACTTGGGTGTCAAGCAATTAGAACTAGCCATGGACAGCATACCATAATGATGTGTACCTAATAGTATTGCCAAATTTAACAGATAAATATACAGGAAATCCAGTTAAACTTGAATTTCAGGTAAGCAATAAATAAATTTTTAATATAAGAAGGCTGCTTGCAGTATATATATATTTTTTAGTCCCAATTATTGCATGGGTCATACTTTATTAAAAACTTGTTTGTTGTTTATCTGAAATTCGGATTTAAATGGGCATCCTGTAGTTTTTCCAGCAGCTCTACCCAATGAATATATTAACCCTGTTAATTTTGAAGATTTAAAAATTCTACTAAGAGGACATTGCTTTAAAACTATGATTAAATGCGATTGGAATTAAACTATAAAATAAAAGAAATTCTGGGGAGTGGGAGGGAGCATTATAGGTAAACACTGAAGTGAAAAATTAGAATTCTGCAACAATATATGAAGAATAAAATATAGTAGAAACAATTGAAAGAGAGTTGACAGGATTAAAATAAATGCTTAAGCTATGAGAAGAACCTGAAGAAATAATGAGATTTGTGTGGCAACAAAAACGAAATTAACTATGATTAAAGAAAATGAAAAGCCTATGAAAATAGACTTGAACTTTGAATTAAATTGTGATGTTTCCAAAGTTGTTATGACAAAGAGCTAAATTGTCACAAACGTGGAAATCTTAAAAGTTTGTGTTGTAAGCAAATTGAATAGCATATTTAAAATTAAGTGAAAACTATTATTTGATATTCTCTTAAACATATATTTTCCATTTCAACTAGATTGTTTAACTTTTTTTGGTCTGAAACCTGGTTCTTTTCACTAAAGTGTTTGTATAGATTGTAATTAGCTATGAGGTATCAGACTAGAGGTAACTTTGTGCTATTTCCAGAGATTAGAGAATATTTTTCATCATTATGAATGTAGTTCAATTGTTAGGTAAGGATATTTAACAGCTTTTCGAAGTGATAGTATTAGTCATAACTTGATTTCTTTTCTGTAGTGGAATTTACTTGGTGAATAGATGGTACATTTTAAGACAAAATCATTCAGGAAATATAAAAGTTCTGTATTAGTGTCTATTAAATTAGAAAGACTATTTTATAGAATCTATGTGCATTAACATTAGTCAAACTTAATATGTATTAATGAGTATAGCAAACTTTTGAACATTTACTATATACTAAACTTTTGGACACTTACTGTGTTCTTGTTGCTTTGGCTATATCAGTGGACATAATGTTCCTGTCTTTGTGAAGTTAGTGAGGAAAGATTCGCAATGAAAAAATAGACCTATTTATCAAAGTAAATTATATATATGCGCATGTATACATATATAGAGATAGATGGATAGAGAGAGAGATAGCAGGGGTGAGGAAGTCAGGAGTGCCAAAGAGGAGAGAGTTGTGATTATAAATTTAGTGGTTGTAGGAGGCTTCATGAGAAAAGTGGGAACTGAGCAAAGATTTGAAGGAGGTCAGAGCATTGTTAGTGCAATTATCTGAAGGTACAGAGAAGAGCCAGACCAGGGCCTTAAGGTAGGAGCTCCTTGAAGTGTTCAAGGAACAACAAGGAGGTCCATGTGATTTGCATTAATATATGAGAGGGAATCAATGAAATTAGAGGGATAATGGAGGAGGGAGACAGATCATGTAGGGTGTTGAAGATCTTTTGAGAGTCACGGGAGGATTTTGAGCATGCTTTGACCTATACTTTAAAAGAGTCACTATGGCTGCTCTGTTGACAATATACTGGGGATTTGGAGGAAGTAGAAACAGTGTTTGAGTTAGAATGAGGTTATCAAGGGAATGAGTTCTAGATAGAGAAAAGAAATGAGCCTTAGGCACCAAGATGTTGGAGAGGAGAGGAGAAACCAGCAAAACAGTGACTAGTGAGATAGGAGAAACAGAGTGCAGTGTCTTCAAAGGGAGGGGAAGAGAGTACATGAAGATTAAGGAGTGACTAATGATGTCAAATGCTGATGATTAACCAGCTCAAGGAAAATGAAGGCTGACAAGTGGCCTTAGATTTAGCACGAGGAAGTTCACCTCAACAGAAACAGTTTTACTGGAGTTGGTGGGGTTAAAAGCGTGACTAGAGTTAAAGGAAGTGATAGAAAGCTGGGCTGAGAGTGGGGGCAATAAAGAAGTGGGGTGGAAGCTTAAAGGGGAAGTGAGGTCAACAATTTTTTTTTTTTATAAATGGGAAAATAACACCCTGTGTATGCTGATGGCAATGATCTAGTAAGACACCCGGCCGCCCTCCCCCCGCCCAAAATGGCGATGTGGAAAACAGATGGAAGAACTGCTGAAGTGCTGTTGGATCTGATGCACAAGGAACACAAATAACTCAATTATAGCAGGGATCAGCAGACTGCAGAGTAGGGGCCTAGGCACTGGGAGCTAAGAATGATTTCTGCATTTTTAAATGACTATAAAAACACCCCAACAAAACAAAGAAGAATATGTGAGATCATTGTGGTTCACAAAACCTAAATATTTACTGCCTGGCCCTTTACAGAAATAGTTTACCAAGCCCTAATTTATGGTAATTTGGTGGAAAGCAGTGTATTGGCTTCAGATACTGGTAGTAAGTAGGTTTAGTGATACAAGTCTCTAGAAGTTATGTTCTGATTGATTACATTTACTCATTTTTATCATACACATGTATCTTATAACTCCAAGCTAGGAAATAAGTTAAACAATGCTGAAAACAATTTTGGTAACCCTTGCCTTTCTTGTGAAAGGGAACTTCCTTGCTTTTCCTGATGAGTTGGATGAAGAAAGAGAAATGTGGGGATAACAATTGATAGTGAGCTTCTTAACTTAAAACAGGACCCTATTTCTTGGCCAGATGTTTCCTCTTGTATGTTTTAGCAAATTAAGGAAATTTGAACATAAAGTATGGTGACAACCAATTGGAATTCTGTTAGATAAGCATTTGAGATCCATAGTTTGAAACTTCTATTTTCATATGTATTAGACAAGAAGAAAAATTATCAATTTTCTTTTTGTATCTTGTAATCTAACAGTAACTTATTTTTAAAGAGCTTCTATACTACTGAATTCATTTTTGCACAACCTTAAAAAAATTGTCAGTAAACAAGCCATATTAGTGCATAGGAAATATATGCATCTTGGTTAATTTATATAATGATAAGCTAAGTGTGTGTAAAAGAATAAAAATGAATACCTAAAGCAAATGGGAATTGTAAAAATGGGGAGAATTTTCATCTATTTCTAAGAAGAAAAGCTGGCTTTTTTTAAAATTTAAAAATGCAGAACAGCTCACTATTGTTTAGGTTAATCGATTGGTTGAAATTATTAAAGCAATTAGACAAATTAATTTCAGTAATAAATGTCCTAGTCAAGTTAATGTACATTATACATTTAGGTGATTGAATCCTAATTTAGAGTAGGTGTATCTTGATTGAGTTTTTATTAAAAATTCTCATATGGCACATAATATTATGAGTTTTTTAGTTATAATTCTTTTTGAATTTAATGAGTACTTAGATACAGGTGAAGAAAAGCATATGCAAAAAAAAAAAAACACAAAAGTGAATCTTAGCTTATGAAGTTATTCTCTCTTCTTGTTTTTAGTTACAATTTAGAAAGCAGTATCTGGAATGTAGGGACTCCGTCAAGGGGACCTCTCCGGAGATATGGACACTCTCTTGCTTTATATCAGGTATGGCTCCTGCTTTTTAAATTTTAATTGTTGTTTTTTTTTTTTTTTTTGAAGAGTTTACCGTAGGAGAAAACATGCTAAGTTTCAGATTTATTTCAAACACTTAATGAGCACACTAGATTGTGTGGATCACAATTGCTTGAGATATCATGGACTCATCTACTATTTTAGTAAAAGAATAGATTTTAGTAGAATCTCCCATTGGACATGTAAAGAAGTTAAGATTGAGTTTTTGTCCATGGCTTTATACCTAGTCATTAGGTTAATCACTTTTTTAAAAAAACTGTGGTAAAATACTGATAACATAAAATTTACTATTTTAACTACTTTTAAGTTCAATGGCATGAAGTACATTCATTGTTGTGTAACCCTGGCCACCATTATCTCCAGAACCTTTTTCATCTTGCAAACTGGAGCAAAAATTCCCCATTTTTCCCTTCATGCAGCTACCTGCTTTCTGTTTCTTTGAATTTGACTTCTTTAGGTACTTCATGTAAGTAGAATCACATAGTATTTGCCCTTTTGTGACTGGCTTGTTTCTCTGAGCATAATATCTTCAAGTTTCATCCATGTTGAGTCATGTGTCAGAATGTCCTTCCCTTATAAGGCTGAATAATATTCTATTATATGTACATACCATATTTTGTTTATCCATTCATCTGTTCACGTACACTTAGATTGCTTCCACCTTTTAGCCATTGTGAATAATGTTTCTATGAACATTTGTATATCTCTCTGTTTGAGTCTCTGCTTTCAGTTCGTTTGAGTGTATGCTCAGAAGTGGAATTGCTAGATCATGTGGTAATTCTGGTTTTCACTGTTTTCCACAGTGGCTGCACCCTTTTACATTTCTGTCAGCATTGCAAAAGGGTTCCAATTTATCTATAGCCTCCTCAGCATTTGTTATTTTCTGTATTTGTTTTTTGATAATTGGCCTCCTAATGAGTGTGAAGTGGTATCTCATTGTGATTTTAATTTGCATTTCCCTGATAATCAGTAATGCTGAACATCTTTCAGGTGCTTATTGGCCATTTGTATATCTTCTTTGGAGAAATGTCTATTCAACTGTTTCACTGTTTTTGAATTGGGTTATTTTTTTTTTTCATTGTTGAGTTGTAGGAGTTCTTTATTATTATATTAACCTCTTATCAGATATATCATTTGCTAATATTTTCTTTCCTTTTCTGGGCTGTCTTACTCTCTTGATAATGTCCTTTGATGCACAAAAGTTTTTATTTTTGATATAGTCCAATTTATCTATTTTTTCTCTTCTGTTACCTGTGTAGCAGGTGTTATATACAAAAAATTAATTGCCAAATCCAGTGTCATGGAGCTTTTCTCTTTCTCCTAAGAGTTTTAAAGCTGACTTAATTTTTATGTATAGTGTAAGATAAGAGTCCAATTTCATTTCTTTGTATGTGGATAGCCGATTTTCCCAACATCATTTGTTAAAAAGACTGTCTTTTTTCATTTAATGGTCTTGGCATCCTAGTTGAAAATCATGTGACCATATATGTGAGGGTTTATTTCTGGGCACTTCATTCTATTCTATTGATCTGTAGGTCTGTCATTATGCTAGTACCACACTGTTTTGATTACTGTAGCTTTGTAGTTAAGTTGTGAAGTCGGAAAGTGTGAGATCTCCAACTTTGATTTTGTTTTTTAAGATTGTTTTGGCTATTCAGGGCCTCTTGAAATTCCATATGCATTTTAAAATAGAGTTTTCTATTTCTGCAAAAAATGTTAGTATTTTGATAGGGATTGTATTGGAATTAGTTATTTTTATGTTATTTTTTTGTGGGATTCATGAATTTAGCATGATTAAAATAAGAGGTCCCTACACTGGTTATTATTTTGTGGACTGTGGGGTGGTAGGGCTTTTAAATCAGAATTTATATATATTCTGTGCTTAGGTAAAAAAAAATTTGGAAAATACAGGAGCAGTATAAAGAACCAATTACCATTCTTTTTTCTATGCATACATATGTTTTAAAAATAAAATAAAAATCTCTCTTTCTTTTTATATACATATACTATGTATGTTTCCTTTTCTTTAAGTTTTGAGTTTTAGTTTTAGGGTTTTTTTGTAACAACTTTATTGAGATATAATTGCTATATCATACAGTTTACCAGTTCATTGTTTCTTAGTATATTCAGAGTTATGCAACCGTCTCTTGAAGATTTGTGTTAGATTGCAGAGTTGTGTAGTCAATTTTAGGACATTTTTATCACTTTGCAAAGAAACTTTGTACCCTTTAGATATCACTACAAACCTCCTCTTTCTCCCCAGCCTTAAACAATCACAAATCTACTTTCTATTTCTATAGATTTGTCTCTTCTGGACATTTCATATAAATGAAGTCATATATACTATGTGACTTATGACTGGCATATATCACTTAGCATAATATTTTTAAGGTTTATCCATGCTGTAGCATATGCAATATTTTATTCCTTTTAATGGCTCAATAATATTACTTAGTATGGTTACTACATGTTAGTTTTTCAAGAGTTGATCAACATTTGGGTTGTTTATACCTTTTGGCTATTATGAATAATGCCGCTATAAACATTTGTGTATAAATTTTTGTGTGGACATATGTTTTATTTCTCTCAGGTATACACATAAGAGTGGAATTGCTAAGTCTAATGGTAACTTTATGTTTAACTTTTTGAAGAATTGCCAGACTGTTTTCCAAAGTGGCTATACCATTTTACATTCCCACCAGCCATGTATGAAGGTTCCCATTTCTGTACATTCTTGCTAACACTTGTTAGTATCTGTCTTTTTGAGTATAGCCATCCTAGTGGTATGAAGTGGTATCAGTGTAGTTTTGATTTGTATTTCCCTGCTGTTTAATGATGTCGAGCACCTTTTTATGTGTTTATTGGCTGTTTGTATATTGTTTTGGAGATATGTCTATTCATGTCTTTTGCCATTTTGAAAATTATGTTATTTGTCTTTTTATTATTGAGTTCTAAGATATTATATATTTTAGATACAAGTCCCTTAAGATATATCTTTCGCAAATATTTTCTCCCATTCTGTGGACTGTTTTCACTTTCTTGATGGTATCTTTTGACGTGCAAAAGTTTTTTATTTTAATAAAGACCAATTGATCTGTTTTTTCTTTTGTTGCTTGTGTGACTTGGGTGTCATACATAAGAATCCATTGTCAAATTTCAGGTCATAAAGATTTTTTCTATTTTTTTCCTTTAAAAGTTTTATCATTTTGGTTCTTACATTTAGTTCTTTGATTAATTTTGAATTAAGTTTTGTATCTGGTGTACAGTAAGTGTTCAGCTTCATTCTTTTGCATGTGACTCTAATTCTCCCAGTACCATTTGTTGAAGAGATTCTTCTTCCTCTTTGAATAGTCTTGGCACCCTTGTGAAAAATCAATTGGCCGCAGATGTATGGCTTTATTTCTGAACTCTCAGTCCTATTCTGTTGATTTATGCTAGTAGCACACTGGCTTGATTACTTTTACTTTGTAGTAAGTTTTTAAGTGTGTGAATTCTCCAATTTTGTTCTTCTTTTATAAGATTGTTCTGATGTTTGGCATCACTTGCAATTCCATATGAATTTTATAATCAATATGCCAATTTCTACAAAGACCCCTGCTGGGATTCTGATAGGAATTGTGTTGAATCTGTAGATTGATTTGCAGAGTATTGACATCTTAACAATGTTAAGTCTTCTGACCTTTAAATATGGGGATTTCTTTCCATTATTTAGATCTTTTCAAAATTTCTTTCAACAATGTTTTGTAATTTTCAGAGTATAAGTTTTGAAGTTCTTTTGTTAGATTTATTTCTAGTATTTTATTATTTTTGATGCTTTTGTCAATGGAATTGTTTTCCTAATTTCATTTTAGATTCTTCATTGCAAGTGTATAGAAATAAATTTACTTTTGTATGTTGATCTTATATCCTATAATGTTGCTGAACTCATTTGTTAGCTCCAATTTGTTTTGATTTCTTCGGATTTTCTATATACAAGATAATGTCATCTACAAATAGAAATATTTTACTTCTTCCTTTCCAATTTGGATGCCTTCATTCAGTTTTTGCCTATTTGTCCTAGCTAGAACCTCCAGTACAACGTTGAATAGAAGTGGCAAAAGTGGTTATCCTTGTCTTGTTCCTGACTTTAGGGGAATGCGTCAAGTCTTTCACCATTAAATGTAATGTTAGCTGTGTATTTTCCTTAGGTGACCTACAGGTTGAAGAAGTTCCCTCTATTTGTAGTTTGTTAAAATAGTGATGATTTATATAATTTTATATATCATTTATTTCAATCATACGTGATTGAAATTATTTGTATAAATTATGAGTGCAATAAAGATTTACCAAAGGTAAAATGGAGGCATATGGTATCTACCCATAGCCATGAGAAACAGTAATAAAAATGTATTTCACACGATGCACAAATGTGGACTACCTTTTTGGTGAACAGTGCTTGATAAAAATAGTGAGTAATTGAAGAAAATAGCACAAAGCAGTAAAATAGATGGTTGAATTCAAATGTAACAGCTAGGGACTCAGATCATTCAAATACTGAAAACATAGTCTATGAGTAATGTAATGTCTCTGAATAATATATGCAACTTAGTCTGTTACTTGCCTGTTGTATGGGCAGAATAAATTATTTTTTGTTGTAGAACTACCTTGCCCTTAAGTTTTAAGTTCTTGATTACCTTATTGCATTTTCCATTCTCAGAACAGTAGTTTGGTGTTCTCTTCCTATATGATAATTAAACATATTATTAATTGACTGTGTAATGTAAATATTTTAAGTAAAGTGTCTTAAAGTAATGACATGCTTGGATATTTTCCCCTTTTTTTGTATGTAAAATAATTAGTTATCATTGCTCATGTGTTTCCATTTGACATTTTATAAATAACTATGCCTTATGCATGTTGTGAGAAATTACTAAAATTTAATGTTTAAATTACCCTTTATTTTACATTAATATGTATTCTAAAGAATAACTTTATTTTGTCTATTAATATATGTATTTTAATTTACAGGAAAACATCTTTATGTATGGAGGCAGAATTGAAACAAATGATGGCAATGTCACAGATGAATTGTGGGTTTTTAACATACAAAGTCAGTCATGGAGTACAAAGACTCCTACTGTTCTTGGACATGGTCAGCAGTATGCTGTGGAGGGGCATTCAGCACATATTATGGAGTTGGATAGTAGAGATGTTGTCATGATCATAATATTTGGATATTCTGCAATATATGGTTATACAAGCAGCATACAGGAGTACCACATCTGTGAGTTACTTCAAAATGTAATTTCTTTGTTGGTTGAAAATTTTTACCTTTAATAAAATCTTCCTATGAATTTAGTCAAAATGGTGAGTTATTGTAGATCAGAATTATAAGCCAAGAATTAATAATTTTAATATAAGCTTTTTTGACTATTAGACTTTGTCCTCTAATATTTAAGTTTATCTTAGCCAAATGAAGGGAAATGTTACATACTATTCTCATTTTCCCAGATTTAAGAATATTTTTAAATATGAGAAATTCCAATAGATGGTGCTATTTCTTGGACTTATGAACCAAGAACTAAAACTAACCCAATCTCTTTACTATGTGTTCCATGACTTCAGGATTTTTAATTTTTAAGCGTTCTATTCCTAATCTTATTGCTATATCTTTATGTATGTACTACTTCTTTAAAATAAGCTTCCTGAAGACAGTCTTTTGGTATCTGTAAGAGATCATTATCTGGTGTGTGAAAGTAACTAGGGCAATTGACATATGGGTTTCTGTATTCTTCCTTTATTCTTTTTTGTTTTTCTGGTACTTTATTTTTAATTCTTTATAACATTTTCAAACAGTGTTACCTTTTTGTCTTTTTTTTAAAATCTCTACCTGTATACCCTATGATTGCTATTTAAATTCAGGAACATACCCCATTTCTGGCTCTGGCCAGTATTATAAACCTGAGTTCTTGGCTCATTTGTGCACAGACAGCTATATGTACAACTATTTAGAGTACTTCAGTCTTAGTGGAAAAACTCATTTGTAACAACATGAGAATGCTTGTGTGCTCGTAGGAAAATTCCTCTTCTAGATAATCCACTGTTTTCCCCTGAAGTCCTTTTAAGTGATGGCTATTTTCATCTCCATATCCTTAGTACAACAGGCTGAAAGCAATATACCTGTTCTCCTTACATCTTATGGCCATTCTCACTCTATTCTCAGTCCCTCCTCCTTTAAATCACTGGTTTTGAATCTTTTGTCATCAGACTATGACACTTATTACTTCACCTTCTCGCCCTCATCTTTTGCTCCTCAGTTCACTGTTTTATTTCTTGAAGAACATAGCTTCTGGTTCACTATCACTCTGTTCAGCATACATTAGTCAAATATTTTTGTGATTTAAATATCCACTTAAGTACTGCTTCTAATATCTGGCCTCTCAATTTCCTAATCTCTCTACCAAAGATCTGTTTTCCATCCTACTTGAGCCACCCTCTCCCATTTTCATACTCTTTGACCTTGTCATTTCAGTACCTGCAATGAGTCCAATAATTTCCATTTCAAATATCTTAACTGTTTAAATACCACTGATATTTCCAGCTTAGTACCCACACTGACAATCTTTAAACCTTCCAAGAGCATTTAGTTCATTGTGCTTCCCATCAGTTTTTCCACTCTCTTCTTCATACTTCTAACCTTCCCCAGTTTTAAGTTCATAATCACCGATCTCAAGGTGTCCCTTAATGATGTGTGGTACTCCTGCCAATCTAGCTCGGTCTGTCTCCCACCTCTCCTGGATGACTCTCTTATACATTTTCCTTTCTCCTCAAACTTCCAACACTTCCTTCTCTATCATCACTCTCAGCTGACGATATCACCTTATTTTACTGAGAAAATAGAAGTAATCAAAAGAGAACTTCTGATGGGAACATGCTGGAGTGTAATAGTTATTTAAATAAGCAAAGCTGTATTGAATAAGCTTGCTTATACACATCTTTGTCATAATAAACTCATGATATCATTGAAGCAAATGTGGCTGAGTTATTCTGGTTTTTCAGATGGGCCCAGGAGCTGTGTAAGCAAGAGATATATATTTTCTGTGTTGAAGGGCTGCTTTTTTTTCTGATCTTGTTAGGAATTTTTGGTTTTATTGTAGTGCTCCAGGAATGATGTAGATATTTCTACTTTTAAAAAACTTATTGAAATTTTCTTTGTGGCCCAACTTTTATAAATTCTATATGCAATTGAAAAGGAGTTAAATCTTATAATGTATCAAGGTATGGAATTCAACATACATGAGGGGTCTTCAAAAAGATCATGGAAGGATTTGTATTATCTTTCAATTCTATTTTTCCCCTAACCTTTTGAAATTCTCTCATATATATATTATGGCTACTTTATTGATTATATTGTTTAGGCCTTCTATTACTTACTTATTGTTATTATTTTTGTGATAGATTGGTCTTGCTCTGAAAGTTGAATTAAAGTTGTAAAATGTTAATCTATTTCTGCCTATTTCTCCTTGTAAATTCTGAAATTATGCTTTATGGAAGTTTCTATTATGGATATTAATAACTGTTATGTGTTTTCATTGTGAATTATGTGCTTTCATGTTATAAAGTGATTTGCTTGTTTAATGTTTTTTTGACCTGAATTCTGCCTAATCTGATATTAATATTATAGCCCTTGTGTTTTTGATTTTTGGTCCATCTTTCCCTGGTATACATTTGTTCATCCCTTCATTGTTACTATTATTGTTTAATGTTTCAGAATTACTTTGTTTTAAATGTATCTCTTGAATATAGGAGAGAGTTGGATTTTGCTTTGTGATTTTTATGTTTTTGGTGCATTTTCTGTACATGTTTTATATTTTTTAAAGTCACTGTGTTGTGTTTTCCCTTTTTGTTTTTAGTTATAGCTCTTCTCATATTTAGGTCCCCTCACACCTTTTTTGTGGGAATGAGCATGGTAATTTTTGACATCTCCCACTGTTAGTTTCTTCTGTGCTCTTTATTTCTCATCTTCCTTTCTGCATTGTTGTGTCTTCCTCTAGCTGATTCTTTTGGTTAAACTTCACACCTAATCTGGAGTTTGTGGTTTTTTAAAAAAAATTCTCATAGTTTTTTTTGAATATTTTCTTTCTCTTTCACTACACTCACCTCCCCCAAGTTTTTCTTTTGTCTTACATGAGAGTACTTCAAAAAGTAAAAAGTTTGTGGAAGAATGAAATTAAAACATAATACAAATCTTTCCATGATCTTTTTGAACACTCCTCGAATGTCTTCCTTGAGAAGAATGGGAAGATTCAGAACTAAACTATCACAGTACTTGTACTTGAAACGTAGGTTTTGACTTTTGTTCTAAAATGAATGCTTAAGTCTAAAGTTAACTAATACTTTTATTCTTTGATTAACCTCCAATTTGCAGGCTACCGTTTCCCACTGTTTAATTTTGTTTTGTTTTAAACACAAATGACATTATTATCATTATTTTTTACTAGGGGTCAACAAAGTTTTCTATGAAGGGCCAGATAGTAAATATCTTAGGCTTTGTGTGTCATACGGTCTTTGTCACAACTAATGAACTCTGCTATTGTAGCGTGAAAGCAGCCATAGACAGTGCATAAAGAAATGGGCATGGTTGTGTTGCAATAAAACTTTATTTACAAAAAACAGGTAGTGGGTCAGATTTACCTTGGGAGTCTTAGTTTGTTTACTCCTGCTCTTAAGAGAGAGAGAGAGAGAGAGAATGTGCTTCTCGGGACCCTGCAATCCTGGTCTAAATTAAAATTAATTTAAAATTGAAATTAAATTAAAATTTGGCATGTGTTTTTTTGGACATTGTTTATAGGGAGAATTCATGCCCCAAAGTGACATGATGTCTACTTCATGGCCAAAAGTTCTCAGGGGGAATAATATTTTTCTCCATGTGGAGCCAAGGCAAGACAGATGATATCTGCCTGCCTCTGCACAGCAAATTTTTAAAAACTCACTTTTTCACTGAGGGTGTAACTCTTCAAGGATCCTGACTTTACATAGAAGCTCTCTGATTCAGTACCCAAGTGGGCCCAACTTCCATGTTGGCCTAAAGCTGAATCTCTAGGCCACCTGATTGGTATATACCTTCCCCACTAAATGTGGTATACAGTTCACAGAATAAATTTCTTGCTTTTAATATTTCCCTTTATTGAATAATAGTCTCATTTAGCCATGAGACATAGTGGTGGTTGTGCTTTCCATGGATAGCTAAGAAATCACAACAGATTTATTCTAATTTGCTATGAACAAGTGTTGATACTGTTTGTTAGCTGATAAATTCATTAGCTGGTAGGTTTTTGTTTTTATGGAATAATCTGTTTGCAGAATGTCAGTTGTGGTTTTGGTAAGTTTAAAAATATTCCTATGTTGAGTTTCTTTTGGCTTATTCTATAACCAAAATACTATACTTATAAAAATTTTTCAACAAGGTATTTTGGCTTGATTTTTGTCTTACTAATTGCATTACTTGTTAATCATACTAACAAGCAGTATAAGATGGAAATGGGAAGATTACATGATTTATGACTTTTGGATGAATTATGAGCAGTTTTAAAATTCTGTGTATTACTTAAATACAAAGTAAACCCACAAATGTTTCTGTAAAATTATATTTTAATAGCAAAATTAATTACTTTATTTATTGTTAATGCATTTTGAATTTGCTGCTTAAATGTTGAAGGTATGTGATGTCAAAAAGAAACTATAAATACTTTCACTTTGGAAAGTACTTAAAAAGAAAAGAGTACAAAACAATGGGTAAATATACTTTAAAGATGTTGTCAGAATAATTAAGTTCCCTATACTATAGAAAAGTGCTCCTTTAGGGAATTATACTATATTAAGTAGGGCTGCTTCAAATATAAGTAATGGGATAATTTATCATCCTAGTGAGAGGTAAATGCTTATTATCTCCACAGAGAGAAGTTTTTTTTTTTTTTTTTTTTTTTTTTTTTAGAATACTATACCGTGATGCCAGTTTAGGCTCTTTTTCCTGACTGATTTTAATAGTTTCAGCTACCCAAATATAGGTTGGATTTACTTTGACTATCTTTACATGTTTAAACCTTATAGATAACTAAGGACATAAATGTTTTGGTATTAAAGAAGGGGTTATCACTTTAACCAACATTGTGGTGAAGGTAACCAGTAAAGCTGAAATTATAGCAGGGTAATTAATGAAAACAGGGTATTTTCCTACATAAAATTTAAAATTTTTCCTGCATAAAAATGTATTATGAAATATAC